TGTGTTTGAAAATTATCAATGTTTCTTTAATATGTATCTCAAAATGTACTGAAAATCTACAAAATTAAAATATTCGTAGTGGCATCTGCCATAATAAATACTTGTGTGTTTACTTTATTTTTTTTTGCTCGGAATTATTCATAAAATGGTAGGCCTATTTAATTATTTTCTTAAAAAAGAAATAATTGTTTTATGTTCGACCTTCTCCGGTCGTCAACGGTCACCAGTTTCCAAACACCTTCTTCTATATTAATCGATTACTGTCAACTATATTCCTTATACAAACGTTTATTTATCCTCGCCCCCCCCCCCCCATTGAAAATAGTTAAATGAAATATATTTATATCATTAAAAACGTTCCCCGCAGGAAACCATTTTACTTGTTTTCTACTTGCTTCAGTGTGGCGATGTTCATCCTCACCCGGGTCCAACTTCAGATAAACGTATTACTTCACGGAAAGGGAGACAACCCAGATCTCCATGTACTAATTGTGAAAGAGGAGTTACACCTCATAGTAAAGCAGTAAGCTGTGATATTTGTCAACAGTGGACTCATATAAAATGTACCACCAGTATAACAGAAAAAGATTATGAATCCCTATGTAGAGGTGATGTTATATTTAACTTTACGTGTAATGGATGCACATTTACTGAACTTCCATTTTCACAAGATGCTCCTAATTTTAATGACTCTGAATTGTTGTTTACGACAAATTCAAATGAAACACAAAATCCTTCTGAAATAAGTCAAGATCATTTCCAGTGTTTCTTTCAAAAAGGACTGCATTTTATTCATGTTAACGCGAGATCCTTACTTCCTAAAATATCGGAACTCCGGCTAATTGCACTAAAATCCAAAGCAGCTGTTATCTCAGTGTCAGAAACCTGGCTCGACTCTTCAGTACCTGATGGGGAAGTTAATGTTCCAAATTATTCAGTTATAAGGCGTGACCGCAATAGGAATGGAGGTGGAGTGTGCATGTTTGTACGTGACGACCTGGCGTTCAATATAAGAACAGACTTATCATGGGATGGCGAAGAAATCTTATTCCTGGAACTACTCTTGCCAAGAAACAAGCCTATCATTGTTGGGACTGTCTACAGACCTCCAAAACATTCTAGTTTTTTAGACAGTTTTGAAAACATTTTAACTCATTTAAGAACAGATTGTGAAACTATAATTTTAGGTGATTTTAATATTTGTGTATTACATAAGTCTGGTTCTTTTTACAAGTCTTATTACAATATTTTACGGCTTTTTAATTTAGAACAGATTATTTCAGAACCTACTAGAATTTGTAGTTCATCTATTAGTCTACTTGATCATATTCTATGTAATAACAAAGAAAAAATATCTCAGTCAGGAGTTATTCCTATATATAATTATGTTAAAATCAGGTCTTTAAAAAATTATGATAAAACAGATTTTATTTCCAGATTAACAAATGCTGACTGGAGTACTTGTTTTTACTCTACTGATGTTAATACTGCATGGATTTCTTTTAAAATGTGTTTACTAGTGTTTTAGACTCTGTGGCCACAGTAAAGGAAGTAAGACTACGTAACCAGTCAGAGCCTTGGATTAACTCCGAAATACTAGATAGTATCAAACAAAGAGACTCGTATTTATATAGATACAAAAAGTATGGTGAAAGAGAGGATTATAAGATTTTTTGTAAGTTAAGGAATCAAATTCAAAGAGATATAATGACTGCTAAGTCAGAATATTTTACTAACAAAATAGAGGAAAACAAATTTGATCCTAGCAAACTCTGGCAAAACTTAAAGACTTTGGGATATAAAAATGACAAGAAGAAATCTTCAAATATTGTATTATCAATTAATGGGGAAAACTGCAATGACGCTGATACTGTTTCAAATTATTTTAACGATTTTTTTACAAGTGTTGCTTCTAAACTTGTTGAGAAATTACCTTCAAGTAAAAAATTGTATGATTTAGGGTCTGAAAAGCTTTTCAATTTTTATAGTAAAAGAAATCCTGATAGTAATATTTTAAATCTACAATATGTATCTGAAAATTTAGTTTTTAAGGAACTATGCAACTTAAATGTTAGTAAAAGCACAGGATTAGATGGTATTCCTGCCCGATTTTGAAGGATTGTTCTAGTGTTTTGAAAATACCAATTACTTACATTGTTAATCTATCTTTTTCTGAAGGTAAAGTACCTGATGAAACTTTACAAGAAGAATAGTGTTCTAGAAGTTGGTAATTATAGGCCTGTCAGTATTTTAAGTGTAGTTTCAAATTTTTTAGAGAAAGCTGCTTATGTTCAACTTGAAACATTTTTGGTTTCCAATAATTTACTGTATGAACACCAGTCTGGTTTTAGAAGGTGTTATTCTACAGATAGCTGTCTTATTCACTTACAAGATGTTATAAGAATTAATACTAGTAAAGGGTTATACACAGGTATGGTGATGCTTGACTTGCAAAAGGCGTTTGACACCGTAGACCATGATATTCTTAGTGGAAAGTTAGAATTAATGGGTGTTAAGTCTATTTCCTGGTTCAGATCATATCTTTCAGAACGTTCACAAATTGTTAATATAGGAAATACTTACTCTCAATCAAACAGTGTGACCTGTGGCGTCCCCAAAGGTAGTATTCTAGGGTCGTTGCTTTTTCTGTGCTACGTAAATGATATGATTTTAAGTATTGATAATGATTGCAAGTTAATACTGTATGCAGATGACAGCACTATTTTATTCTCACATAAAGACTCGAATTTCATCTCAGAAAAACTTGGGACAGCCCTAGAAAGCTGTTCAGAATGGCTCGTAGACAATAAGCTGTCACTCCACCTTGGTAAGACAGAATGTATGCTGTTTGGCCCCAAAAGAAAATTACAAAAGCAAGAACAATTTACTGTTACATGTAATGGTCATAGCATAAAGGGTACTAATTTAGTCAAGTATCTTGGTCTATATATCAATAGTGATTTATCTGGGGAAACTATTGTTAATAACATTATTTCTAAAGTGAATGCCAAGCTAAAATTTTTATACAGGCAGAGCAGACTTTTAGATACTAAAACAAAACAGCTTTTATGTTCAGCCCTGATTCAGTGTCATTTTGACTACTCTTGTTCCTCTTGGTATGAAGGTTTATCAAAACATTTGAAAAGAAAGTTACAAATTACTCAGAATAAGGTATTAAGATTTGTCCAAAACTTAACGCCCAGAACTTCTGTAACAGTGTATGAGTTTAAAAATTAAATTGGTTATATGTAGAAAACAGAGTCAAACAGTTAAGACTCAATCATATGTATAAGATTTTTTACAAAAAGAGTCCATCATACCTTAGAGCCGACTTTAGATGTTGTGCTGATGCAAGATTTTACAACACTAGATCAAGCAATTTTAATTTTATTGTCCCCCAGTGTAGTTCTGTGATGAAACAGACCTTTTATTATAATGGAATTAAAGACGACTGGAATGATCTGCCAGAGTATATAAAATCCATTAATAATTTTGTGCAATACAAAAAATCTGTTAAAAAGTACCTACTAGAAAGTTATAAAAGTCTTTCAGAAGATATATATGTGTACAACTAATGTGTTAGGCACTGTGATCAAATATTTCTGTGATAGTAATACTATGCTTATTTTAAAAAGGGCATACTTTTATAAATATATTTCCTTTTTCAACCAAAATTTTGACCAAAGTTTAGTTTAGTTTTTTATCTTGTTGTTTTTCGTTTGTTTTTTTTCTTAGGGGGGGGGGGAGGGTTAAAATTATGTTGTTTTTTTTATTTCTATGGACCCCATTGGAAATAAGCATTTAGCTTAATGGGCTATCCATAGGTGCATAGTACCTCTTATTTTATTTTTTATGACAAAAGTGTGCTCTTTTATGCTGTTTTATGATCTCATTTTATTTATATGATTTATATATGTTATCTCTTAACTGTATGATTTTATATTTTGTATCATGTGCTATGTTCCTAAAATGTATAAATAAATAAATAAATAAAATAGAGTAATAATTGATTCAAAATAAAATTATTTTAACATGATAAAAATTTAAGCTTTTTACTGTATTACATAGCTGTATTAAACTTTGTTTTAACAGTTTAAAATCATCATTGTATACATGGTATGAATCATAATGTCCTTATAATGTGCTCAAATCATTTCATTAATATCCTCTCTTTTGCTAGAGGCCATGACCTCAAAAGTTTCATAAATATTTCTGAAAAGCTTGCTAGAGGTCTTGACTAACTCGCAGCTATTGAATCTTTTTATTGGCAAAATTGCATAACATGTATGAAAGATATCAGTATACAGTTAGGTATAAAAGCTATGAAAACTTTGATGCTCAAGTCATTCCTGAGTAGAGTTTAATTAAATCTTTTTGAAGGACTTTTCCTACTGGTTGTTATGACTATGTAATCACAGTAATAGCCAATAATAGCAAAAATCTAGCAAATTTCAATAATTTTACCTTTAAGGTAAGTTTTGAAGGAATGTCAAGTTCACACTGGCAGCTTCCTAAACAGTGTTGTGACTAAGTATCTAGACATAAACAATGTTGTGACTAAGTATCTAGACATTTCATTCAAAAATATCAAAGCTATAACAAGTTGTAGCAAAATCAAGCAAAATTAAAATAAGTGCCACTGTCTAGCGTTGACCCCACACGAATTTTTCTTATTTCCTAAGTCAAAAACATCTTGTAGTAAAGAATACTCCTAGAAAACATATTTGTCCCTATTGTCAAATTTGACAGAGAAGTGATCCATATATGTTGAATAAGTATCTAGACATTTCATTCAAAAATATCAAAGCTATAACAAGTTGTAGCAAAATCAAGCAAAACTAAAATAAGTGCCACTGTCTAGCGTTGACCCCACACGAATTTTTCTTATTTCCTAAGTCAAAAACATCTTGTAGTAAAGAATACTCCTATAAAACATATTTGTCCCTATTGTCAAATTTGACAGAGAAGTGATCCATATATGTTGAACAGTAAATGCCATCTACCATCCTTTAAATCTGTGAAAGTGTTTTATCTAATACACCAAAGAAAGATGAAATACCTTGATATGTCATTACAAATTCAAAACCATTATGCATTTCTGCTGCCTGTGACATAGGTTTGGTACACTTTTTTTTATAAATCTCAAACCTGTCACCAGCATGTTCTTTAAAATTTGACTTAATGTGGACAAATTTCTCAAACTTAAGAAAGAGGTCACTGGTTTTATCAAAATAATTTTCAAAATTCAAGGCATACCAGATACTCAAGATAGTTGAAAAATTTAAGATGGGTTTGTGTTTGGGCTTTACAAAGATATTCAAATCATCTGTCATTATCAGACTATCCAATTTACAGTTGTACATAGTTATTCTTACAATTTTAGATGTGACAATAAAAGATGGTATAAAGGAACTGGACAACTCTTGATTATTGTTCACTTCTGCAAATGCATTAACGATTGTTTGCGTCAAGAGCTGAGACAATGCATGATCACTTATTGCATTCTTTTTCACTCCTTTTTCAACACTACTGTCATAATCTTCACCTAACTCTGAACTCTCATCATCGTCAACACTTTCAGTTCTCATTTTCTTTTTCAATGGTTCACCACTTCTATCTTCTTCATCCTCTTCAGACCCTACCTTGACTACACTTCCTTTCACAAGTATATCTGCAGGCATATGCCACACATCTCCATGACCTGATATAAGCATATATGACTAGGTAAGAGGCATGCTATATTAACAGCAGAACTTTGTTTAGTTAACAGTAAAGGGACTTGCATAAAAACTTTGAGACTGGATGAAGCTCAATTTACTAACAAAGATCTTGGCAATCACTGTGGATTGTGGTGTTATTCACAGCAAAAAATGGTGAATTTTAGGAATATTTTATAAAACTAGTTAAAACTTTATGAATATAAAGTGTGCAACAAGAGGGCCCATTAACCCCAAAGTGCTCACCTGGGGACAGACTGTTATTTCTGTGAAATCAGTCAAAGTTAGTGTTTATTACAAGAATATGAAATATGTGGGTCACTAGACCTCACTTCATGCAAAATGTATTTTATAATTATACAACATGACAGTTATTTTGTATATGCATGGTCCTATTGTCATAGCTATACATTAAAAACAAGAAAGTACCTTTGTACTAAAATCCCCCCTTGCTTTTCAGAAGGGGATTTATAAACATAACTAGTTATAACAACTTCCAACAAGGCAGTCGGAAGGACAGCTAAATTCCATTCCGCAGCAGACATGAATGTGTATTCCTTGACCTTTACCCAACCATGACCGTGTGCTGTGTGTGTGTTCCATGCATATCTTAAACACATTTGCTCATCACAAAAGTGTGTTTCAGGTATTGACCAATTATCTTTTATATTTAAAAGGTAGATACCTTTGAAGATCCTCTTATTTAAGTTTTAATTTTGAGGTCAAGGTCTTGGCAACCATGGGTAATTCATATATTGACAAGTTTTTTACATATTTGGTTTTATCACACACCCGTGCCGACTCCGTAAATATGGTATTGCACGGTCGTGCATATATTTTGACGTGACGTTATTAGCGTTATGCAAACATAGTGTAAAGACGCGCTAAATGTTAGCGTTCTACTATAGGCGCGTCAACGGAAAATAACTCTTATTTCACTTTAAACGGTCTTTATTCTTTATTTTGGGTATGTGATAAATAGAATATTAAATTTGTGTTAGTTCATTACTGAATTTATTGCACTCGTTGAATAAAATAATATGCTCACCAGAGGCTCGCATAATATAATTTTATTCAACTCGTGCCCAGTAGTTTCAGAGAAGAAGACGATTGTTGACGCATGACGACGGACGCCAGAGCATCCCCCTTTGATACTAATAGCTCACCCTGAGCCTTCGGCTCTGGTGAGCTAAAAAGACACACAAGGAATCAATAGGGAGGAAGAGAACATGTAACAAAATTGTTGACTTAAACATAGGACCTCTATGTGTGACCTAGACCTTGGAGGTAACTACCTTAATATTGGGCTACACATCATGTTGCTATGGTGACCATTGATACAAAGTTATTTTAAAAACTTTTCAGTAGTTAAAGTTAAGGAGTGGACAAAAAAAAGTGGACTTTATCACTTGACCTTTAAGTGTGACCTTGACCTTGGGGGTAGCAACCTGGATGTACCTTGGAGAAGCGACCTAGATGTTGCCCTCTGCAGTTTGTTTTATAGTGGGTATATTTGTGCCAAGTAACTTTAAAACCTTTTAATTGTCAGTAAGTTATTGAGTGGACATTAAAAATAGATGCTTTACCACTGGACCTTTGAGTGTGACCTTGACCTTGAAGGTAGAGACTTGATTTTGTACTCTGCACATTGTCTCATAATGGTGATGATTTCTGCCAAGTCATTTTAAAAACATTGCAGCGGATTAAATGTTACGGAGAAAACACGAAATGTAGACTTTTTAACACTAAGTGACCTTTAAGTATGACCTTGACCTTGGGGGTAGCAACCAGGATGTACCTTGGAGAAGCGACCTAGCTGTTGCACTCTGCAGTTTGTGTCATAGTGGGTATATTTGTGCCAAGTAACTTTTAAACCTTTGAATTGTCAGTAAGTTATTGAGTGGATATTAAAAATAGATGTTTTACCATATGACCTTTGAGTGTGACCTTGACGGTAGAGACTTGATTGTTGTACTCTCTGCACATTGTCTCATAATGGTGATGATTCAAGTCATTTTAAAAACATTACAGCGGATTAAATGTTATGGAGAAAACACGAAATGTAGACTTTTTAAGTGTGTGACCTTTAAGTGTGACCTTGACCTTGAGGGTAGCAACCAAATTATTGCGCTCTGCATATTGTTTCATAATGTTGATCACTAGTGTCAAGTTATTCAAAAAAAAAATTCAGCAGTTTAAAGTAATGGAGTGGACACAAAAGTTTACAGACAACAAACAGACGGAGGCCGTGGGGAAGGGATTAAGATGTGGAAGGGGATTAAAAAGTCAAATAAGTTGAGATAATGGTTATACAGCTAAAGAAATGGAAAAAAAACTATTTTAAGTGCCCACTCACTTTAAAAAATTGCAAACAAGTAACATTTGAGCTGTGTTATGAAAAAACCAACATAATGGGTTTGCGACCAGCATGGATCCAGACCAGCCTGCGCATCCACGCAGTCTGATCAGGATCGATGCCCTTTGATATCAGTTTCACTGCGCGGATTCGCAGGCTGGTCTGGATGCATCATGTCGCAAACCCATTATGTTGGTTTTGTCATGAAGCGGCTCAATTTTGATGAATCATTTCACCCCTTATAAATTCTAGATGTAAAGTGTAAAATTCACAGAACTTTTCATTTTAATATGCTATCAAAGGAAATAACAAATAATGTGTTTTCAAACAATTTAGTGTCTATAATTAATGGGACATGTTTTTATAAAATAGGAAAAGTATAATTGCCATTGAGAATTGTGAAACTAGGAAAAGACCTGTTTAGTATTAACAAATTTTGCTGATCTACTTATATGTAGTACACCACAGGAAGAGTCTACATTGTTTCTTTTATGAAAGATTACTTTGATTTAGTTAAAATGTAACTTTGACCTTCAAGCTACAGACCTGGATCTAATGCATAGCATTTTACACTTTAGCAAGAAATATATTAACAATGATTATCTCAATATCACAAAACATGTACAGCAAATAAATCATACATACTATTTTGCCAATTTGCCAAAAATTGCATTACATGTATAAAAGACATTCCAATACATATTATTTCCCTTCAGACAAGATCTTTTGATTTTTTACAAGATGCACTTTGAAAATCATATAATACATACAAGGAAAGCTTATGACCCCCAGGGCCAGGCCAATTTTGACACTAGGGGCAAATATGAACAATTTTGGTAGGAACCTATTAATAAATGATTATACACCAAATATCAAAACTCTTAAGCCTTGTACCTTCAAAAATATGTTTAAGTTTTTACTATATGTATGTAAGGAAAATCATTTACCCCAAGGGCAGGACCAATTCTGACACCAGGACTATAATTTGGACAATCTTGTTATAGGTTCACTACACAATATTTCATGAAAATACCTTATTTCTAGTTTTTATCAATGCAGGAAAATCCAGCTGACCCATGACTTTCATGTGCATGCATGGTCAAATGGGTTGTATATTTTATGAAACCTTTCATTGCAATTTTATAGACTTTCATGTAAAAAAGAAAAAGACCTCGAAAAAATCAGTTTTCTGTATTTTCTAAAGGCCTAGAATTCCGCAAAATTTATGCAAATGTGACATTGGCATGCTTAATGCTGGCAGGGATTTTTTTTGGCTTATTTTATAGCCGTTATTAGGTCATATTCCAAATTGAAAATAGTATATTATTTTCCCAATCCGCAGAAAAAAATTCCCAAATGAAAGTTACAAAATAAAAATATTGAATAAAAATTCTAAAATCTTTGCAAATAAGGGCTTCTTCACTGTAATAGTGCTTAAATCTTTGAAGATGCCATCATAGACAGTAATTGATTGCATCCATTTAATCACTGCAAAATTTCAGTCATGCATTTTTCCCCCAATTTTTAACAAAACACTGTTGAAATTCCCAATTCCATGGGTATGGGTCTTGTTCCCAAAATCCAGAAAAAAAATCCTGACTGGAATGATGATGAATGCTATCGCTATGAATATTGGATGTTCTACTCGTGCTAATATACACATAAGGCAAAATTTGAACAATTATGGTCGAGGACTTATAGATAATATTATATATCAAATATCAAAGTTTTAAGCCTTGTACCTTCAGTTTTAAGCTTTTACTGTAATATTGTGTACATTATAAAAATCAAATACCCCAAGGGTGGGGCCAATTTTCCCAGGGCTACAATTTGAACAATCTTGGTAGAGGTCCAATAGACGATGTCTTATGCAAAAAATTTAAACTCTAGGCCTTGTGGGTCTTTAGAAGAAGATTTTTTTTGGGATGCAATGACATACAGATTCCCGCATGGCATTTAATTCTTTCAAAACAATTTTGAAAGCTCTTCATGCAAGAAATAATCCTGCTTAGTTTGGTTGAATTTTAAATTACCATTTTTTAACTTCACTACATAATCTTTAGAACACACAAACACATACACAGTTGAATCGCTTTATGTCACTACATCGCAGATAACTATATATCTGAGATACTGCGGTGGCATAAAAATAACAATTTTATAAAAATCTAAGTTCAAGGGGGAGGTATTTCTGAAAATATTCATGCTAGATGATTATTATAAGTAACAAATATTTGAAGTTTGAAGTAGATACCATAAGAAACTAGAAATTGTCACAAGTGCCGAACACCCTCAACAGAAAAACATCCTTTATAGTTAATAATTTTGCACATAAAAAGAATGCAGTAGTTTATAGATTTTTTTTTCAAATGTTTTTGAATTATTTATCCTACATCAATAAGATAAATTGAAGTTTGGATTTGGCGTTTCATGACTTCCTTTCAGGGCATTATGTTCTTTCTCCCTGATATGTCTGCACTTCTACTCAGTGAGATCTATCTACCTACATAATTTCATGTTGATACCATTTATAGTTCTCAAGTTATGTCATGGACAAAGTTCTTAGTGTACAAAATGAACAAACGGCAACAAACCCAAAATAATGTATGGGAGGAGGGGTGGGATATGGTTCTTCTGGACT